ATAATGCTTCCAATTCTATCAAGGACCGGTTCTGGGCTGTTAGCCGCCTGCCCACTAGATATTTGGCCGATTATGTGAATAACGAGTAGATTTATAACTTAACCCAACCGATAAGAATTTACTGGTATGTTTTTACGATAGTTCTTTATAGTTGGCAGGAGTTTAAAAAAATCCATTAAAATATTTGATATATTTATTCCGCTCTCCGATTTTATATTACTCGCGGATTTCAATGTTAAACCGGTGATATTACGATTTCGTATATCCCATCTTTAAGGGAATGTAGAAAAAAACATGTACAATTCTTGTATAATGTTAAAAAATTAACCGTTACTTTGGTAGCATAATTTACAACTAAATTTAATGAATGAGAGAGATGCGCGAGGTACAGAAAAAGCTCTAGAATTTATTTTCCTTAAATTTACGATTTACGTATCCGTTTGTCATAAAAATTTGTCTTTCCACTTTTTCCCGAGACTACAAATATTCGAGTACAAAGTAACCGGTTTCGACTTATTTCTACTTTAGTAGTAGTTAAATAATTAAGCGATTGGGGACACAAAACCCTGATGAGAGCCGAAATTTTACTTAAACAAAAGCCTAACAGAACCAATCTTTAGCCGAGTACAGTGGGAGTGATTTCTTCGAAATATTATATGTAATAAAGACAGACATTTTTCCAGTTCGACGAGAGTGACCGAAAACTTGTAAATTTTGGAAATTTCCGCGGACAACACCTGGTCCTAAAACGAATTAGAAAACAAACGACGAACAATCTATTAAGTTTAACATATTTAGACTTTTACAGCTATGGTGAGAAACGTTTAAAATTTACAAGAACCCTGTCGCGTCATTTGACATTGACCGGTATGGGCACCCTCGGGATTTGGCAGCCCGCGTGCATGTACACACCGCACACCTAGCGGGACCGTCTCTGATTCCACTCGTAGGGAGCTATTTGACTAAGTGGTTAGGATTTAAAGAGTAAAGAATATTTTATGTTACTTTTATGTACGTTTCATTACAAAGCTATATTTAATTATAATTTTCTTTAAAAGTATATTCATACAATTGAAGAATGTTTTGTACCAGG